TAGCTTACAGACAAAAACAAAGGAAGTTACAATCAAATATTCGATGATCTACTGAATGATGATAAATATGTATATATGTATATATATATATATATATATATATATATATATATATATATATATATATATATATATATATATATATATATATGTGTGTGTGTGTGTTGTGTGTGTGTGTGTGTGTATATATATATATTATATATATATATATATATATTATGTATATATGTATGTATGTATGTATAGATATAGATATACATATACGCGAAGTAGAAGAATTTAAAGAAGTAGAACCAGAAGAAAGAAAAAAAAAGTTCGCCCAAACACATTTCCGATAATCCTCCTTATGTCCTTCATTAGCATCCAGGCAACAGTACCAAGACCAACATACTATGCACAGTCATTCCTGCCTTTCCAGAGCACAGTAAGCCGGTTCCCAGCATCTCAAGAGCAAGATACAAATAAGACAAATGCAAGAGAAGAAAAAAACAACCTGAAATAGAAGAAATAACTGCATGAGATGGAGCTGACGCACTTGCGAGTTGCCAGAAGGAAATCACGGTCGTTTTTCCACGGCTGCTAATCCACTACCGTGAGGATTAGCAGCTGGCCGCCTAGTGATGGTGCGTCGCAGAGTTTGGACTTTCTGCTGCTACGACATCTCATTTTGCGTTTGTCGTCGTCCACAGGAACGAGGGAGTGTGACCTGAATACCTTCCCGCAGGCTGGATGTGTCCTTGCAATGGCACTCCTTTGGAAGTGGCCTTACGAACGGGTGATATGAATCAACACCTGGTTTCGGTATCTTTTCAGGAGCTCCTCGCTTCTATGGGATATTTGCTTTAACGACCGGCTTTGATTCGTACCGAAGGCGCAAGCTTTTGCCGGTTGGTGCACCCTCACGTTCTCGAGCTAAACGGGCGAGTGAAATGATAGTTGTACGCATCAGCCAGGTTCTGCCAAGCTGCGTCTCATGGGATAAATGTTGGCAATTTGGCTCTCGAAATGAAAAAAAAAACTTTATGCTGATCTCTCGGGAAAACCTCGTCCTTTACACCGCCAACCCGACCATCCTGCAGAAAGGTAGGATGTGGAAGCAAAAAACTTTTTCCCATTGTCTTTAATAAACTAATGCCAGGAGAGCCACACGGAAACCGAGTTAAGTAAGGAACTTCCACCTCCATTGCGGTTTCTCTTCCACCCCGTGCATGGCTCAGGTTTGTCCCTTCGTTGGATATGCACCCTTCGCAATGTCTTCCCTTACACCCCTCGTAACCCAATCGCAAGGGTCAAGTACATAAACAATAACAGGGCCAAGTAGGTGATCCAACAAAGGCCACGATAATACCACACAATTCCTTAGAGAACATTACAAGAGAATTGCGTCATGAGGGAGAGAGTGGGATGAGTGGGAGGGGGTGAAATGTGTTCTCTAGACGGGGAAAGAGGGGGTGCAATGTGTGTTATCTAGACGGGGAAGGAGAGGGTGAAATGTGCTACCTAGACGGGGAGAGTGTGTGAAATGTATGTTATCTAGACGGGGAAAGTGGGGGTGAAATGTGCTATCTAGAAGGAGAGAGAGGGAGTGAAATGTGCTTTATCTAGACGGTCCAAATGCAGCATTCCTACATTTTCCATCTTGGATCTTCGCTTCAACAGCCGAGGGGCAATTACACTCACGCTTCCCTTCCCACGCTTATCCGTCCTCCCCCTCCCCTGGGACTTCGTCTTTCCTGAGGACGAAATAGAAAGAAAGAAAGTGGGAAGATTGACAGCGAAACAGAAAGAGAGCAAGAGGAAGAGATTAACAGAAAGAGAGTAAGAGAAAGAGATTAACAGAAGGAGCGAAAGAGAAAGAGATTAACAAAGAGAAAAAGAGAAAGAGATTAACGGAAATAGAGCAAGAGAAAGAGATTCACAGAAAGAGAACAAGAGAAAGAGATTAACAAAGAGAAAAGGGTAAAGAAATTAACAGAAAGAGAACAAGAGAAAGAGAATAACAAAGAGAAGAGAAAGAGATTAACAGAAAGAGAACAAGAGAAAGAGATTAACCAAGAGAACAAGAGAAAGAGATTGACAGAAACAGAGACAGAAAGAAAGGAAATGTGTGAGGAGAAAGGAATCGAGGCGCTCTTAAATTAATATATTATCTAGAATACATTAGTTTTACCTTTCATCATCTTTCTGTTACTGCCTCAGGGAAAAAATATTTTCAGTGGAAACTCAGGAAGAGATTAATCATTTTTCTTATGGATAGTTAAAATGGGAAACACGAGTGGAGTTAGTGAGGGAGAGAGAGAGAGAGAGAGAGAGAGAGAGAGAAGAGAGAGAAAGAGAGAGAGAGAGAAGGAGGGAGGAGAGAGAGAGGAGAGAGAGAGAGAGAGAGAGAGAGAGAGAGAGAGAGAGAGAGAGAGAGAGAGAGAAAGAGAAAGAGAGAGAGAGAGAGAGAGAGAGAGAGAGAGAGAGAGAGAGAGATTGAGGGAAGAGAGAGAGAGAGAGAGAGAGAGAGAGAGAGAGAGAGAGAGAGAGAGAGAGAGAGAGAGAGAGAGAGAGAGAGAGAGAGAGGAGAAGAGAGAGAGAGAGAAGGAGGGAGGGAGAGAAGAGAGAGAGAAGAGAGAGAGAGAGAGAGAGAGAGAGAGGAGAGAGAGAGAGAAGAGAAGAGAGAAGAGAGAGAGAGAGAGAGAGAGAGAGAGAGAGAGAGAGATTCTTTTTAGATATAATTAAAATTGGAAACACGAGTGGAGTGAGGGGGAGAGAAAGAGAGAGAGAGAGAATGAGAGGGAGATTCTTTTTAGATACAAATAAAAGGGGAAATGCAAATGAAGTGAGAGAGAGAGGGGGAGAGAATAACAGCGAGTGAGAGAGACACAGAGAGTGAGAAAGTGAGAGGGAGAGAGACAGAGAAAGAGAATGAGAGCGAGTGAGAGACAGAGAAAGTGAGAAAGTGAGTGAGAGAGAGAAAATGAGAGAGACATAGATAGTGCGAGAGAGAGAGAGAAAAAAATAAAATGGAAATCGCGAGTGGAAAGAGAGACAGAGAGAAATTATATTAAGAACTAATTAAAATGCAAAACACGTCTGGAGAAAGAAAAACAAAATTAATTCTTGAAAGACGGACAAAGTTAACTGACTACATGAATAAATGGACATATGAAAAATATTAATAAAAAAATATATATAAATGCATGAAGGTGATAAAAATCTTGATAGTAATAAAGATAGTAATAACAATGATGGTTTATAGTAACACTGATGGTGATAATGATGATAATGATACTAATAATAATGGTGGTGGAGATGACAATAATAATGATATTTAGTTATAAGATTGACAGAGGTATGAAACCCTGCAGCTCAAGAGGAGTAATCCGGAAGGTTAATAGATACATCAGCGCGCGCGCGCGCGCGTGTGTATATATATATATACACATGTATGTATATGTATATATATACACATGTATATGTATATATGTAAACACATACACACACACACACACACATATATATATATGTGTGTGTGTGTGTGTGTGTGTGTGTGTGTGTGTGTGTGTGTGTGTGTGTGTGTGTGTGTGTGTGTGTGTGTGTGTGTGTTCAGCCAACAACAAAAGCGGTGACGCCTCGCCAGCCCTGGCTCGGAGAGATCATGCCCTTCTTGCCCTGAAAGGAGGCCCACTTTCAAACAACCAGGGCATAGTTAGGATGGTTCGAATGTGAGGAGAGAAAGTACGGAAATCAGGCGAAGAAGTGCAATAATGACTGAAATATATATGGAGAGAGAGAGAGAGAGAGAGAGAGAGAGAGAGAGAGAGGAGAGAGAGAGAGAGAGAGAGAGAGAGAGAGAAGAGAGAGAGAGAGAGAGAGAGAGAGAGAGAGAGAGAGAGAGAGAGAGAGAGAGAGAGAGAGAGAGAGAGAAGAGAGAGAAGATCGCTTTTTATTCCTGTGTAGTTGTTAATTCCATGGATATATTGGAGATCTGCTTTAATTAAGAAATAAGTCATCGTACATTCGAAAATAATTATCATGAAATGTTATAACATCGTTTTATTTTTAATTCCTTATCATATTTAAAAAAAAAAAAAAATCTTAGATATTGTTGGAACTGACTCTTCATATCAATATTCGTCAGACGGAAATATCCTTCGTTGCTTTATCCCAGAGCTGTGTATTAATATATGGTTCTGCATTATCCTAAGCAGCTGCTCTCTCTCTCTCTCTCTCTCTCTCTCTCTCTCTCTCTCTCTCTCTCTCTCTCTCTCTCTCTCTCTCTCTCACTCTCCTCCGTCTTATATCACCTGGATCCGCTATTTAGATAATGGATAACTTTTGATGTTATTTGGAAAATAGAATAATACTCATGGCAATACTTCATACGTCATTATATCTTCCAAATGTTTACAATTATTTCATTTCCAAAAATAACGAAATGAATATGTAAAAGTCGGATTGAACAGGAGATATCGAAAGTAATGGGTTTCTTGAATAGTCTGGAGGGGGAAAACCGACAAAGTGTTGGACACCGGCCGCTAAAACGACAAATAAAGGCATAAGTATAGGTAGAGTCAAGGCTGGGAGAACATTCCCTTAGCCTTGGGTAGAGTGTAGCTAGATGAGTGAGCAAGCGTGAGCCAGAAAGGGGGTTCACTGGGAAGCGCCCAATCTACCCAGGTCTGAAGACTGTCACCCAATAATTTGACACTAAATGATATGTCAACAGTACAAGTTTCACAGCACCTACATCCTATATATCTCATCATCATTATATCAAAGCACCGCTGCACACATTCACAGAATTTCATTTAACATCATTTATTTTCATCAAATTTTCGGAAACACTATAATAAATTAGGTTAACTGACGATGCACTTAAAATTAATTTGTATCTCAAACTTTAAACATATAATAAATATAAATACTTTCTTTAAGTATATGATTGCGAGAGGCGGAGCCAAGTGGCCCATAACCCTCAAGCTGACCCCAACCAAACCGTGCTTCGCGATTCACGAACGCCCGTGGAGGTCGTGGTTCGTAGGAGGCACCCAAACGAGGTAAAGGAAAACAAGGGAATCGCTACCTAAACCTTTACAGCCCATTACCCTCGAAAGTTTTGTGGCCAAAGCCGTTTATTAAGGTTTGGTAGCTCAAGAGGTGCGGACGCGTTGATAGGATGGGACTGAAACAGCAGAACACTCACTCCTTGCTTTGTCTAGAGAATCCAGATCACCTCGTCCTCTTCCCCCCTAAGTATGCCCACGTTGTTTGAACGTTATTTGAACGTTATTTGAACGTTATTTGAACGTTATTTGAACGTTATTTGAACGTGAGCCACCTTTCAGGGCAACATGGGCCACATCGGTTTTGTTGTTGGCTATACATATGTGTGTGTGTGTGTGTGTGGTGTGTGTGTGTGGTGTGTGTGTGTGTGTGTGTGTGTGTGTGTGTGTGTGTGTGTGTTGTTGTATGTATGTATGTATGTATGTATGTATGTATGTATGTATGTATGTATGTATGTATGTGTATGTGTGTGTGTGTGTGTGTGTGTGTGTGTGTGGTGTGTGTGTGTGTGTGTGCGTGGGTGTGGTGTATGTGTGTGTGCGTATGTGTATGTGTATGTGTGTGTGTGTGTGTGTGTGGTGTGTGTGTGTGTGTGTGTGTTGTGTGTATGTAATATATGTATGTCTGTATATATATATATATATATATATATATATGTAATACACAATAGTTAAGTCCTTCATGCTAGAACATAATATTCCCTATTTTCCCAACGAGTCGCAGAAAAAAACTGCTACGTTTAGCGCCCTCGGCATTAGCGAACACAGCCACAGAGTAGCCCTTTTCAGCTCGCATCGGGGCTGAGAAGAGTGACCTGAAAGTTATCACGTTTTCGAGCGGCTTTTGCGAAAGAGGAAAGAGGAAAGAGGACAACTGTGTCGCCAGTCACTGTTGCCGCCGAAAGAGGAAAGATGACGGTCGTTTTTTAAAGTTTTTTTTTTCCTCTTTCGTCTCGCTTTTGAAAGTCTAGTTGATGTTTGCAAAAAAAAAAATTGAGGAGTTCTTGGTGAGGATGCTCGCGTGGCGTTCGTTATTCTTTTGTTTGAATGTAAAGTACTTTAGGTACAGTAATGCGCAACACACGCATGAATAAAATAAAAAATCAATGTAACCTTACCTTCGATGGAGAAAAAAAAAAATCAATATTTTTACTATAGTCTAACGTATTAGAAAAGGAAAATTAGAACGAAATGTCGATGGTTAAACAAATCCAATATTTTTACTAAAGTATAACGTATTAAGGAAAGGAAAACGAGAACGAAATGTCGGGAAAAGAACCAACCACAGCGAAATACATTAGCCTGGAGCATTGGCGTCAAAAGAATGCTAAATGGAATTCCAAAAGGCACGTTCCTCTCGGTGGACTTCCACAGCTCAGCGATAATTGTCAAACGATTGTGTAAAGCACTCGTTCTTTGTTGTTGAATGGCGCTGTTTTGCCTCGAGCGACTTCCTCTCGAGTCGCTAGAGATCACCATTGGCTCTGAATAAGGGTGAAAATAATCCTAATCGCGAATTATTTGAATTGGAAGGCGTGTCAGCGTCACTGTGGCTTCCAAGTTTTCCGAAAAAATACGACTAGTTTTTGAAATATTTCCTCTCCATTCCTCAGTTCAAACATCAAGTGGATTTTTAGCCTTTTTTTTCTCCCGTACATATGGAGAGAGAGAGAGAGAGTGAAAAAAAAATCATCTTTCATCTCATCTCATCTAGAAGACATCCAATTAACACTCTCCCTCGAAAAATATCCTGACACGTAAAAAAAAAAAAAAAAAAAAAAAAAAAAAAAAAAAAAAATCTTATCGAAATCTTCAGAGACAGACTATGAAACACGCTCTCTTATCGCTCAGTTATATTTGAAGAAACGTCGTAAAGCAATTTCCATAATAGGCTTTTCTTAACAGCATAAATATTACGCACGTTCAATTTACTGTTCATCAACTGAAATGATATTGGTGCTTATTCACGCCATTATCATTAGTAGGAGCAGTTATTACCATCATCATCATTATCGTAAAATGAATGTTAATATACGTATCGTCCTTCGGGATTTTGACAATTTTGCTGTCGTTGTTATCTGTTTGATAATTGTTATGATTTTTATTATCATTGCTATTAATATTGTCATTAATATTACTGTTATTACTGCTGTTATTATCATTAGCATTATTGTCAAAAATAGGAGTAGGAGGTGTATTATTATTATTATTATTATTGTTGTTGTTATTAATTTTTACATTATTATTATTATCGTTACTATTACTACTACTAGTGTTATTACTATTACTATTATTTCATTAGTATTATCATAATTATTATCTTTTATTGCTATTAGTATCATTATCGTTTTAATCATCTTTGTCATCGCTATCGTTATCATCACTAGTATTCATATTTTTAGTATCATCATTATCACCAACATCATTATCACTATCACTAACATTATTATTATCATTATCATTATCGCCATTAACATTATTACTATTATTCGCTTCACAACCGTTATAAATGCAGTCTCTATCTCATTACATTAATCATTACCAATCTCGTTATAACAGATCATAACGACCATTTCAACAAGCAATATACATTAGCATAATTCTAACACCTATAGTATCACTAAAGAGCATTAACGCTAACAATTAATCTAACAACTCATTACTCATTTAGTACTTGTTACTTTGCATAAGTAAAAGTAGCAGTGGTAGTAGTATATAACACATAAGCCCACACCCACCCACACACGCACATACATACATACATACATACATACATACATACACACACACACACACACACACACACACACACACACACACACACACACACACACACACACACTCACACCCACCACCCACAACCCACAGTCACCCACCACCCAACGACCCACCCACACAAACGTCCACCACACACCCACACCCAACGACCCAACGACCCAACGACCCACTCAACCGCCCAACCACCCACACCACCCACCACACTCACTCACACCAACCCCCACACCACACTCACTCACAACCACCCAACCACCCACCAACACCCACCACACCCACCCACACCACACTAATCGCACACCTCTAACCCCCCTTGGCTCTCCTCCCTCCAACAGATCTCCGGGTGGATAGTGCTGGCTCTGAGCGTCCACATGATGGTGGGGAATCATGCTCGCTATTACACGGCCATTCTCCTCGGAAGTGAACCTCGGCTGTTCGCTTCCGGCCCGCACCAGACACCGTCCGTCTTGGATCCTGGGGTGAGTTTTCTTCTTTTTCTTTCTTTCTTTCTTTCTTTCTTATTGCTTCTTCTACTTCTTTGTTTTGTTTTGGGGTCTGCAGTGTATGTAAGTCTCTCTGTCTGAATGAAGATACATGTGTGTGTGTGTGTGTGTGTGTGTGTTGTATATATATATATATACATATATACGTACATACATATATTATATTTTTATGTATATGTATATATATGTATCTATCATGTTTATGCGTATATATATGTATCTATATGTATACATGTATGTACATATATGTGTATATATATACATATATGTGTATATATATACATATATGTGATATATATATAAAATACGTATATATATATATATATACATTTTCTACCCATCCTCTCCTCTTCTCCTCTACTCTACCTCTACTCTCTCCCTCCTCCCTCCTCTCCCTCCTCAGCTCGCCCCCCCCTCCCCCCCTCCCCCTCCCCCTCCCTCCCTCCGTCCCCCTCCCTCTCCGCCCCTCTTCGCGCTCTCTTCCCTCCTTCTCGACCTACTTTGCCTCTACGTAAGATAAAGCGCAGACTGAGAGCCAAAAGCAACAGCTACTCGCCACAATAAATTTCGGTCTTGAATAAAAGTCGAGAAGCGCTGGAGAGAAAGAGAAAGAGGAGAGAAGAGAGAGAGAGAGAGAGAGAGAGAGAGAGAGAGAGTGAGAGAGAAGAGAGAGAGTGAGAGAGAGAGTGAGAGAGAGAGAGAGAGGAGGAGAGAGAGAGGAGAGAGGAGAGAGAGAGAGAGAGAAGAGAGGAGAGAGAGAAGAGAGAGAGAGAGAGAGAGGAGGAGAGAGAGAGAGAGAGAGAGGGAGGAGAGAGAGAGGAGATGAGAGAGAGAGAGAGAGAGAGAGGGAGAGAGGGAGAGAGAAGAGAAAAGAGAGAGAGAGAGAGAGAAAGAAAGAAAGAAAGAAAGAAAGAAAGAGACAGAGAAACAGAGAGGGACATAAACTCCAGACCTTTCAATTGGAGAAAATTGAAAGAGAAACAGCACAAAGCATTCATATTCAGAAGAAGGGGAAACAGCACAAGGGGAGAAGGATATGTGAGGGAAGCTCTTTGTTGTCGAACCGAATGCGACAAAGAAGTGTAACTACCGAAGGGGTTGTTATGAGAGTTACTTGCTATGGAAGTGAAGGGAGTGACTTACCCAATAGCTGGGATTTCTCCATTACATGCCTTCGGTAAATGTTGTGTATCGTTTACCATAATTTGTTGTTTATTGTTTGTTGTTTATTGAGAGAGACAGACAGAAAGAAAGACAGACAGACAGACAGACGGACACACACACACACACACACACACACACACACACACACACACACACACACACACACACACACACACACACACACACACACAACACACACACAGAGAGAGAGAGAGAGAGAGAGAGAGAGAGAGAGAGAGAGAGCATCCGTGTATATGTGCGTATTTATGCAAATTACACTCACGTAACCGTCAAGCACGTATGTTTACGCATGATAGCAAAGTATCAGTGTCTCATTACGACCAGTTTGTATATGTCCTTTTAATGTAATCTGATTTAATTCTAGAATCATATTTGGTTATTGTTTTTCATTTAAACTCGATGTATTTTAGCAGAACCAATATTTGTCATCAGTTTCAATACTTTATTTGATTTAGCTCTGCAATTGTCGGTTTATTTGACTAAAATCATTCTTGTATCTATTTCCTTTACTGGGCATGTTATTCTATTCATGATTTCATAAAATTCACATGTCTGTTTATCTGTCAGTCTGTCATTTTTCGTATAACATTCATTCATATAAATGTACATTATTCTTGTTCAAAAAAAAATCTGAATGGGAATGACTATCTTCACGTATTTCTGACGAAGATAAAGTCGAAACAAATGCTTTTTATCGCGCTGTAATGATACTTATCCTCTTTCCTACCTTGTTTACACGTGTCGCAGTGGATACTAACTGGTATTCTTCATGCTGTCAGACCATTTTTTGTTTTGATGTCAATTTATTCGTATTTTGAACAGGTGGAAGAACTTCTACATGTGTCAGGTTGCCAACTGGTAAATGTCAAAGGGCAGTACATTTTACCATTATTGTCATCATCTTCATCTTTATCTTTATCTCTATTTTCGTCATCTTCATCTTCTTTTTATTTATCTTCATCTTCATCGTCATCACTATCATTTTTATCATTTTTATTATCAAAAATATCCTTATTGTTGGTGTTGTCATTATCATCATATAAAATAATCTGAGGGCGTTATAAGATATTATATAAAGTGTATAGAAAAAAGAGAAAGTTATAAATACGATTTATTATCATCATTCAACTTACAATCCACTAAAATTGATTGAGGAAAACTATCAGACAAGAAAAAGAATAATGAAACCCCGAGAAAAAAAACATCAGACAGGCAAAAAATAATGAGAACCCATTTTAAAAAATCAGACAGGAAAAAAATAATGAACCCCGAGAAAAAAATCATCAGACAGGAAAAAAATCAATGAAAACCCAAAGAAAACAATCAGAAAAAAATATATGAAAACCCAAAGAAAACTATCAGAAAAAAACAAATAATGAAAACCCAAAGAAAACTATCAGACAGAAAATAAAAAATAATAAAACCCCTTTCTCCCCCCCCCCAACCCCCAGTGGCTCGACAAGGCAGAACCCAAGTCCCGTAGCGGCTGGCGACGGCGACGGAGGAGGAGGAGGACCAGGACCAGGACCAGGCGTCGCAGGAGTGTCTGAGAAGGAGGCGACCCTCGAGGAAGTGATCACGGACGCGACGGGGACGCTGAAGGCGGAGGGGACGCTTCTCGTGGCCGGGGCGGTGGTGGTCGTCGCCGGGCTGCTGGGCTGCATCGCGTCCTCGCAGAGGGACAGGACGCTGCTGCTGGCGGTGAGTACGGAAGGGTTTTTCGTTTTTTCTTTTTTCTTTTTTCTTGCTTATTATTTTACTTTTTTGGTATTTTCTACTGTCTTTCTATTTTCTTTTTTGTTTTTTTATATTCTTGTTCCTTATTGACGTCTTATTATTTGTTTTCTTGGTATTTTCTACTTTCTTTCTATTTTCTATTTTCTTTTTTTTCTTGTTTCTTATTGACCTGCTTTATTATTTGTTTTCTTGGTAATTTCTACTTTCTATTTTTTTTTTCTTGTCGACTTACCTTATTATTTACTTTCTTGGTATTTTCTACTTCTTTCCTTTTTTTTCTTTACTTCCTTGGTATTTAATTCTTCATTGTTATCTCTTCTTGTTTACTTTCTTTTTTTCTTTTCTTTTTTTTCTTTTTTTGACATTTTTACTCTGTGTTTGATATTATGCTGTGGAGGTGAGTTGGACGATAAGAAGATAAGTGTTTTTTTTCTCTTCTTTTTTATTATATTCGACGCCCCCGCTATTGCTTCTGTCTGTATGATGCACACGAGCGTGCGCTTGAGGCGAGAGAGAGAAGAAGGAAGAAGAGAAGAGAGGAAGACAGGAGAGAAAGAAAGAAAGAGAGAGAAAGAGAAGAAGAGAAGAAAGAGAGAGAGAGAGAGAGAAGAAGAGAAGAGAGAGAAAGAGGAGAGGAGGGGAGAGAACAAGGAAAGAGAAACAAAAGAGAGAAGAGAGTGGGGGAAAGGAGAGCGGGAGAGGACAAGAAGGAGAACAATAGAAAGAGAGAACGAAACAGTGAGATAACATGAAGGATAGAGATATCAAGAGAGAGAAAAAGAGAGAGAGGGAGAGAAACAGACAGATAGACAGACAGAAAGAGAGATGGACAGAAGACAGACAGAGAGACAGAAAGAGAGAGAGAGAGAGACAGAGAGAGAGACAGAAAGAGAGAAAGGAGAGAGAGAGGAGATGGAGGGAGAACAAGGGAAAGAGAGAACAAAAGAGAGAAAGTGTGGGGGAAAGGAGAGAGGGAGAGGGAGAGAGAGAGAGAACGAGAGAAAGAGAAACAGAAGAGATAACAAGGATAGAGACAAGAGAGAGATGACGGAGAGAGAGAGAGAGAGAACGAGCCACAAAGGCCAAATGTTCGTCCAACTTGACCAACGCTTGTATACACCAAATCACACATCCTTGAACCTTGCATCCGCCACGTATTTACTGGCAGAAAATCCCCTGCCTCTTATGAAACAACCAATATTCTTTTTTATCGCTCGACGCACAAAATGACCGTCGCTCGACCTACGCACTATTCACCAATAACCTTGGCAAGCAATATCCGCTGCAACCACGTACCTGATTCTCATTCAACGTCTAATTAATTAAGGTACTAAGGTCTCCGGTCTCCTGTTCCTTATTACGGACACTCGCCCACAACCAGCCAGGAATTTGCTTGCTGAGAGACGGGGAGAGGAAGGGAGAGAGAGAGAGAGAGAGAAGGCAAGGAGAGAGGGGGAGGGGGGGGAAAGCTGATGAAATGAGAGAGAGAGAGAGGGTGGGAGGGAGATAGAGAGTGGGGGTAGGTAAGAGATATGGAGGGAGATAGAGAGAAAGGGATAGAGAGAGAGAGAGAGTGAGAGACAGACAGAGAGAAGAGAGAGAAAGAGAGGAGAGAGAGAGACAGACAGACAAAGAGAGAGACAGACAGACAGACAGAGACAGTGAGACGGAGACAGACAGACAGAGACAGACAGACAGACAGACAGAGACAGACAGACAAACAGACAGAGACAGGAATAAACAGAGACAATGAGACAGGCCATCCTCCGTCCGGGATGCAACTCCTGCTGTGAAAGGAAGCGAGGTAAGATGAAAAGCCCTGCCTATGGAACGGCACTGAACGAGAATTGCTGTGTCGATCTCTCGCTCCAGCTACAGAAGCAGAGATGACGCCAAAAACAAAATCCGTAGCATAATTACTAGGAAACTTATCTCTTGATGGTCTAAACTACTATTACAACTAGCAATTATGGTTCACAGATGACGCCCAAAACAAAACCTTTAGTATAATTACTAGGAAACTTATCTCTTGATGGTCTAAACTACTATTATAACTAGCTATTATGGTTCACTACAATTTTATAAAGTTCACGCAGACAAAAATGCTCTTTTGATCTAGGATTGCAAACACGTTCTCTCTCCGACACGACAAAGACACGTCGCTGAGAGGACGAAGTGAGAGCCAGAGAACAATTATGGAATTCCACAAATATCCTGACAGCTGAGAATTAGACGTATCAGTAATACCGCGATTATCAATAAATAACATTTTACACATTTTCAGTTAGTTTTTATTTTTTTCATAAGTATGTCTCTCGTTCTTTACCGGTTGCGCTAATAGCCGTATATGCTATTGATGGAATATTGACGGGTTTTCTGTTTCTGTTGAAATAATGGGTATCGTAGCAGCTGAGACGGTTGTAGGATGGTTGATTATTAATAAAAAAAGGGTAGATTGGCTTTTCAAAGTTTAGTGTCCTGTTTCTTTTCTTCTTCTTCTTCTTCTTCTTCTTCTTCTTCTTCTCTTCTTCTTCTCTCCTTCTCCTTCTCCTTCTCCTTCTCCTTTCTCTTCTTTCTCCTTCTCCTTCTCCTTCTCCTTCTCCTTCTCCTTCTCCTACTTCTCCTTCTCCTCCTTCTCCTTCTCCTTCTTCTCCTTCTCTCTTCTCCTCTCCTTCTCCTTCTCCTTCTCCTCATTCTTCTCCTTCTCCTTCTCTCATTCTTCTCTTCTCTTCTCTCTCTCTCCTTCTTCTTCTTTCTTCTTCTTCTTTTTCAATCGATATGCGATGATATTCATAGAATTAACGACTACCTTCGATGCTCAGCTCATCCACGGAGGTCTTAGTATTTCTTGGAGACACTTGGGTCTTTTCTGATACTTTTCTTCGGGAGGAGACCGTGTCGTGTGACCAATCCCGCCCTGTGGCCGACACACACACCCGACGCGGCTGCCGAGGGATTCCCGACGGACAAGACGAGTGTGTGACCGTTGCGTAACCTGTCTGACGCGGCAGCTGAACAACGGGTCAGACAGACAGACATAAGTCACACAGACAGGCAGACAGATACACAACACACAGACAGACAGATACACACACAGACAGACAGATACACACACAGACAAACAGACACAGATAGGCAGACAGATACACATACAAACAGACACAGGCAGACAGATACACACACTGACAAACAGACACAGATAGGCAGACAGATACACAACACAGACAGACAGACACAGATACACACAGACAAACAGACACAGACAGCAACAGATACACACACAACAAACAGACATAGATAGGCAGATAGAATACACAGACAAACAGACACAGGCAGACAGATACACACACAGACAGACAGATACAGACAGATACACATACAGAGAAACAGACACATAGGCAGACAGATACACACAGAGACAGGCAGACAGATACACACACAGGCAGACAGAACACACACAGACAGGCAGACAGATACACACACAGACAGACAGATACACACACACACAGACAGGCACAGACAGGCAGACAGATACACACACAGACAGGCAGACAGATACACACACAAACAGACAACATATACACACACAAACAGACAGACAGATACACACACAAGCTACAGACATATACACACACAGACAAACAGACACAGATAGCAGACAGCTACACACACACACACACACACAGACAAACAAACACAGACACACAGACAGGAAGAAAGACATCACACGGACAGCGCATCGGCCAAGGAGCCCCGCAATGACGAAAAAAGAAGAAAAGTTACGTGATTCCTTTTCTGCAATCACCGCCGGGCGTGACTTGGCAACGTTTTGGCCACGGAGCCTTTTGCTCATTATCTCCGGGGACTTTTCGTGGTCACTCTTTCTTCTTCTTCTTCTCTTCTCTTCTTCCTTCTTCTTCTTTTCTTTTTTCTTTTTTTTCTTTTTCTTTTCTTTTCTTCTCTTTTCTTTTTTTCTTTTTCCTCCTTTTCCTTCTTCTTTTTTCCCTTTCTCTCTTCTTCTCTTTCTTCTCTCTCTCCTTTTCTCTTCTCTCTTCTCTTCTTCTCTATTACTTTTCCTTTAGCTACTAATTTTTCAGTTTTATCTATTTATCTATATCATCTTTACTCAACGTTATAATATTTTTATTAATTTTTTTATTATTATATACTTCTTATAAATATATATATATTATACCTTTCTTATTATCGCTTGTGTGTGTGGTCGTTGTGTCTTTGCTTTGTGTTGTGTGTGGCTTTGTGTGTTGCTGTCTTGCTCTTTTGTGTTCTTGTTGTTCTTTGTGTTTCGCGCTGTTGTTGTTTCTTTGTTTCTTTTGTTTGTTCTTTTGGTTTCTTGTGTTTTCTTTTATATGTGTTCTATTTTTCGTCTGTCGCTCTTGTTGTTCTCTCTGCTGTTTTATCTTATATAACTTCTATACCTTTCTCTTTAATTACTTTTCGTCTTAAATTTTGTCTGTCGCTGTGTGTTGCTTGTGTGGTTTTGTCTGTGTGTTGTGTGCTTGTGTTTGTCTTGCTTTTTGTTGCTCTGCTCTTTTGTGGCTCGTTTTTTCTTCTGTCTTTGCTTTGTGTTGTTTCTTTTCTTGCTCTTGGTTATTTATTCTTTATCTACTTCTTATAATATTATACTAATATTACTTATAGTTTACTTCTTTATTACTTCTAATATATATCTCTATATATTATATATTAACTTCTTAGCTTATTATTAGCTTATTCTCTATCATTATATCTTTATCATTATCATTTATACTTTATACTTATTTCTTATACCTTATATACTTATTATATATTTACTATTATATATCATTTATATATTATTTTTACGTACATAACATCTTATATTTTATAATTATCACATATCATATATACTTTTATTATATATATATTTATATTATATTTATAATATACTATATTATACTTTATCTATATTATATATCATTCAAGTATCATTTATATACTTATCTTATCTATATAGCATTCTACATATGTTATGTTCTATATAAATATATATCTATAAATATATATATATTATCTGTCTTATGTGATTACTTTATATATCATTCTATCTCAACACACACAAATATTATATATCTATTATATGATTCATTTTTCTTATTATATATACATTATATTTATTATATATACTACTATTTACTTATATACTTATTCATCTCATACACTAATATATATTATATCGCTTAATTATATCATTTATATATACTATTTATATTTATATTTATATATATATGACTTTACTTATATGTATTATCTTTATCATTTCAAATCACTTATATATACTTTTTCTCTATATATACATATCTATCCTTAGCTCATATTACTCCATATATACTAATATATTATATACTTATTTTATATATACGCTTCTTCTTAGCTAACCTTATATATATTACTTTTATTTACTTATTATTAATATACTACTTATATATCACTAACTTATTATATATACTATACTATTACTTATATCTTAATATCATTATATCTTCATATTATATTTTTATAATACTATATTATTTACATTATTTCTATATTATATATTATAAACTTATCTTACTTCTTATATCTTTTACTATATTTATCTGTATATTCTATCTTCTGTTATATTATATGCTTATCTATTATATGTATACTTTATATCCATTCCTCATTACTATAATTATAATATTACTTTATCATCTTACTATTCTTACATCACCCTGTTTGTACAGCATCTATGCCACTCCTACGGTAGATCGGTTAGATTTTTTTTATCCTTATGGCGGTTAGGAACTTATTTAAGTGAGATTAAATCATATACTATTAAATGATTATATTTCGTTTAATTTTTTATATTATTTAATTCAATCATCGTTATATTTTTAATTATTGTTCTTATTCATTATCTATATATGTTTTTTATTTTTAATATATAATATTATTTATTTAATTATATTATTCATGCTTAAATCGCATTATTGAGTGGTACGTTGTTCCGGACTCCATTAAATACCAATTTCTATTATTAATTATTTTAAATTCATCGTTAATTATCTTTATCATATTATAAAGTAGGTTATATGATTATCTAGGTTAGTAAAGTAGTAGTTGCTATAACAAAAACAAACACAGCTATTATTAATCATTATTAGTTTAGTGTTATTATTATTTTTTATACGCAGTTAGTTATAGTAATTTTATCATTATTAAATTAGCTTTCCTCACCATCTCTCATCTCTCTCCTCTCCCCTCTTCCTCTCCTCTCATCTCCCATCTACCACACACTCTCTCTTCTCTCCTCTCTCTCCACTCTCTCCACACTCACTCGGTCTTCTCTCTCTCTCTCTCCCCTCTCTCCCCTCCCTCCCCCCTCTCCACCTCTTCCCTCCTACCCCTCTCCCCTCTCCTCTCCCTCTCCACCTCTCCTCTCTCCTCTCATCCTCTCCCTCTCGCTCTCGCCTCTCCCTCTCCCCTCTTCGCCTCTCCTCATCCTCTTCCACCTCTCACTCGTCCCTCCCCCACTACCACTACACAACCACACACCTCCTCACACATCTCTCATCCTATTCATTACTCTCTTACTAACTATATATTTATATTCATTTCTCTATATCTCTTCATTACTTCACTAATATTACTCTTCTTACTTATTACTATCTCCCTCTCTCTCTCTTCTCTCTCTCTTCTCTTATCTGTCCCCTCCCTCCCATGCGAAATGCAAAAGCACTCTCCTCAAGAAATCCCTATAACGCTTGCTGTCTTCTGGCAAGAAGGAATGTCTATATTCGTTTTAGATGTTTTTTTCCAGCTTCCTTTGGAAACCGTTCCCGGCGCCCCCTTCCCTATTCGAACTACGAACCTGAGATTGGAACATTCATAAGTTTTTTTTTTTTTTTTCCAAATTTCTAATTCTATAACTAAGGTCTTGGTTTTTCGTGACCTTTATTCTTAGCCTCTTTGGTGGTGATGTTTTGATCTCCTGGCCCGCAAGGTCAAAGAAGGATGCACATCTTCTTTTCAAACCTTATTTAGGGATGACAATTCAGGCCTCCGGTTTGTTTATTATGTTAATTATTATTATTCTATTATTGTTGTTGTTTGTTCTTGTTGTTGTTGTTGTTTTGTTGTTGTTAGTTATTACTCTAAACTACTATTTAGTTTTTGATGTCTATTTATGAACTATTTATATCATTCATCCTATTGTTATTTGTGA